GTACCTGCTACTTATGAAGTATAACACATATGTTTTAACATAAAAAGGTCAAACTCACATCAACCGCTACAAGTCTGAGTTATAATCACACTGACAGCTGGAAAGCGTGAAGAACATTCATTATTCTATTCAGTAAATATATCACTTGAAATAATGATTTTACTCCAAGTCTAAGGAGCTTGGAAAGAAGGCGACTGGACTCGACTTTTTAGGGATATCCATTAGATGGAAATACACGGTACAAGATTTTTTTCTGGCCTGGGTTCTAAGAGTTGAGTCAATCTTAAAATGTGACATCAACAGACTGCACGCCACCAATTGGCCACTCAGTGACGAGGGCAACAGGCCGAGCGGCAGGTATACCATCACCTTGACGTCCTCTGTTTTTTTGTGTTGAGTGTGTGTGGCATACAAATGATGTCACAGACTTTTGGACGCATTACCATGACTACCGCAAGCACATTGAGGTAATGCTCAGTTGCAATGGAAATTGGAGTAACTGTATTTGTAATCGGAGTCTTTTCTGGCCTCCCCGCAATAAGTTTGACACCCCTGTTGTAAAAGAAAAGTCCACATGTATTAAATAACAGCAGGTTTTTTTCTCTTTCTTTACGGGGAATTACAGGACAAACAAGCACTTCTCTTGTAGCTGTAATGTGGCAGACAGACACAACAGTGTGTGTCGGCTGTTGGAACGAAAACATTTAGTAAGTGCACATTTCACAATAATGAACCCACATCCACCCACTCATAAACGAAACAACATCTAAGAATGTTCATTTTCTAGTGGGGTTTACGTTATGCTATTTCCCTGAAGATTCCCCATCTCAACATATCGCTTGTTACCGTAAAACAGAGATAAAATCCGCTTTAAACCCACACCACTTCCCTTACAGTGAAGGGCATGTTGTGGTTTTATGCATGTTAGCAACACTTTGTTATGCAACTATGGCCACAGTGGTTAACAGCTACCAAATTATTAACTCTACTGTTTAAAACATATAGTATAGAACATATAGAAGCAAATATCCAGGTTATCCTTAAGAAAACACCTCAAGAGACTGAAATTTAAAATCTTCCTTCTCAAATGTTGCTTGTGGAAAAAGGTCTTCAATAGAAAGTGAAACTCTGACAGTCCTGTGTTTATTCATTCTTTTTTTTATAATGAAGATTAAGTGTTTAATTTCCGGTCTTTGCTGAGTTCAGTGACACATTTTTTTTTTTAACTGTTGTGAAATACCTAAGGAGGGACTGCAGGAAGGAAACCAAGAGATCAGGTAAATAAACACAGTAAATGACGTGATCAAATTAAATCAAGATAAGTTAAACAACCCCCTTCAAACATCTTTCATATATGCTGCACGTTTTTGGACAAGCTACATTTTATCTACACACACACCCTATTTTTTTCCCTCTTCAGATGGAAGTTATTTGTTGGCGAAGAGTATATAAAGGCCTGTGTGTGTGTTCGTTTCACATCTTTATCAAACTCTTCAGCCACTCATCATGAACAAAAACACATTGCTGGTCCTTTTGAGTCTGCAGGCGATCCTGCTCATCACGGCCTCATCTGAGATGACAGCTGAACAGCCGACACCAGTAAGGAGGACAACTTTACAAAACCAGTGTCTAGATTTTCATTAATTATTACAGAAACTATCGAAATGAAATGAAATAAGAAGATGTGGTGTTTAAATATTGAATATTTGCTTCTTTTTTCCCAGACAGAGGAGATAACTTCTGTACACAACACGAAGGTGAAAAGCCCAAATGTTAAACATCTGAAAAAATGCCGCGTGACACAAGCAGGATGTCGACGACACCACTCAGTAAGGCAAATTTCTGTTTAACAAGTAAAATAAATTAAGGAATAATAATAATAATTTAAGTATTTACATCTCAAAACAATTTGCAGCATATCAGCAGTTTACTCTTTCTGTTGTTTAAAAGAAAACTCAGCAGTTTGACTCTACGTCTCATTCATTTTACTTCTGCATGGTGTGTGAAACTAGCAGCTCCCCCTGAAACCTTTTTCTCTTTTTATTACAGAAAGCACAGCAGGGATCAGACATAAAGCCACAACCCTACAGGTAACCACACAGTGCATTAAAAACAAAATCAAGAATCAGGTCCAAGTTTCTGCTGAGCAGCAGCAACAGTGAAGAAATGTGTGGCATTTTTGGTATGAAGATCAACACAGCAGGACTGGTTCATTTTTTAATTTTTGTTTTATTTCATTCCTAACAGACCCAAAACTCGTAGAGGGAGTCTGGCTCCAATTTTGCTACAGTAAAGGAATGAAGTGAAGGAGTGATCACGTCTAGCGCGTAAGTACATGAAAAGTGAAGACAATGGGAACGATTACTAACACATTAAATGACTCCAGTTGCTATTTTATCTGGTTGATGGATTAACGTTGTTCAAACTGATGTGTTTATTCCTCCACTCCTTCTCAGTGAGTCGCCTGCTTTGTTTCTTCTGAAGATGATGAAATAAAAAGAAAAACAGAAATGAAGACCGACACTATAACTATAAAAATCACAATATTTCTCAGACCAGTGGTATAGAAGAAATATGTGTATAATATAAAAAGGTTATTAAGGCACTACATAAATGAATGTATCTGATACAATTATAATTTGATGTTTATGTTCACAAGTCAGTTTTTAATGTGGCCTTATTCGTTTTACTGGTTTTGATGAAATAAAGAGTACGTTTTCAGTCTTCTATCTGTAACTGCTGTTGTTTCATGAATTTCAGTTTCAAATAAAGTCATCCAGAGTTAAAGCACAAAAATGAGTTATTTGTCGAATGTACTACACAAACACACACACACAGAGAGAGAGAGAGAGAGAGAAAACCTCAAAACCTTGCACTTTTGATATCCTTACATACTACCTACTATATCTGTTTGTACTAAAACATATGTGTATATTAACAAAGAAAACTACATGAATACTACCTCATTTTATCCAGCTTAATAACACAGACTAGTTGACCCCTTTCTCTGGTATAGAAATGACCTAACAGAGGACTTACACCAAGACTGGACGCAAAGGAAAAGTTTAACACAAATTTATTTACAGGTAGCTTTAAATGCTGAGAGGGGGGGAAACGCTGTCTGAGAAGCAAAGGGGTCTGAATCTGGGTGGAGGAGCTGCAGGTAAGTTTGTAGGTGCGCACACACACTGTCAGCACCACCTGAGGGACTCTGGAGAAATCTGCACAAAGGAAATGCTCCAGAAAACAAACGATGAGCAGCACAAACAGCGCAGAAGCCAGAACACTATACCTCTTGCAGACACAAAGATCTGGTGACAACTGAGGGGTTTCCTCAGCTTTAAACAGTCAGCCTTGATGTCCACATGAGGAACAGGTGTGTTAATCAGTCCCATGAGTGACTAGTGGCTAAACCGAAACAGACTCACAAACTACATAATCAAACCATAATCAAACCTATAACCAGTTCAGAATCACCACTTAACTCAACATGCATGTCTTTTTCTGTGGAAGGAAGCTGGAGGATCTGGAGAGAACCCACACAGGCGCAGGGAGCACAAAAACAATACATTATATTGTTAAACTACAACATCACGTTATGTCAAAGGCACTCATCGAAGTTCTCCCCCAACAGGTCAGTGCATTTCACCATACCACAAAAAAACTGCTGAACTCAACTCCCCCCGATCCTACATCACCACAGAGTTTCTACAGGATGTGATAGAGCCAGGTCGCAGGGCCTGGAGGATATGCTGCCAATTCACTGTCATTAGAAACTCCAGCACCAAGATTATTAAATAACCAAGGTTAAATAATGAAATACTAAAACTATATGTGAAAAAAGTTCATTTAACTAGAAATGCAAAAAAAAGAAAAATGTAATAAAATATTGAACAAATAAAAACTAGCTTAAAACAACCTAAAACAAAATAAAAACACATGAGGAAATCTCCTTAGTTTTAGTATTTGTTACGCCAATCAAATGTGTTACAACAACTTGCCTAATGTGGTCTTAATGGACATGTTTATTGAGAATTTGGACGTCTACCAGACGGTGACTCATCTGCTTTGAAGAAGCTCTGTGTTTTTATCGAAATTCCTGTACTGACTTTCCTAAATCCTGCCTCTGGCATATGACCTAAATACAATAATACACTGAAACTAATAAAAACAAAACATATTCAAACAAAAGAGAAACGAGCAAATTCTGGAAACTAACGGAAACCAAACTGGATTGAAAGCAAAATGTCAAAATGAAATAAAAATAAAAAATAAACAGAAAATACAAAACTATAATAAACTATAAACTAAACTGAGAAAGCTGGTTTATTCCTTGTGCTTTGAGGGTGTATCTTCATGCTGAATCTTCTGTTTTGCAACTTAGCAGGGCAACTTTGTGGTGTGGCGGGGTGTAATGATGTAATTTTTGCCCCATGCAGGCCGCTTTGTAATAATTAAAAAGACAATGTAATTTTTCTGCAATAATCACTGATAGAGCAGCTCACTCAGAGAAATAACAAATGCAAAACAATTTCATTCATAAAATCAGAGCAAACTGAGTGTCTGTTGGTTTCCTGTTGATCGAATAGCTTCAACTGGCCTCAGTGGGAACGCCAAACAGAAGAGAAACAACTCTGTTCTTCTGCCAAATGTGGATGGATGACAAACGAATCTTCACTCTTCACTCTGCAGGCTGTTATCGCCGTGGGCGTGGGCGTATACAGTGAAATACTGTACATATCTCAGTGGCACTGGTCTACTTCCTCCTTGTTTGAACTCTCCCTGTCCAAATGTTCTTAGGGTGTCTACTCTGACTCAGTCTAAACATGTTCAGTCATGTTCAGACACAGAAACAATTCCTCAATAAACACCACAAACAAATGGTTTAGTGTGACTTGGTTTCTGTCTCCTGTCACTTGACTTCTCTCTCTGTCTGAGTCATCCTTCTCAGAGGTGCAATTGAATTGCACGGATACAAGATTCAGCTGGACTTGAAACTGGACAGATTTCCTCCCAGTGGTAAGAACAGTTCCTGACTCGATGACAGACAAATCCTTTAACAACTCCGTCAGTGATATATTGTTGTTGGAACGTCAGAAAACAATAAAAAATACAAACAGAAATAATTTCTTATTGTTTTATATCATATGCATTGCATAAAAGGGTTTCTCATCACATTGTTAAACTTTGCAGCAACATAAAACTTGTTTTGAAATCCTTTCCCCTTTATTTTTTCTGCAAATGTGAATGCATTTGAAACCAGCGGGTGCTCCCTTCACACAGAGACAGTCCAAATATAATCAAAGACTGCGGCTGGCACAGTACATTTGATGCAAGCTAACAAACATTAAATTTGAATTAAATCTGACAAAATATGGAGGAAACCTACTATTAAACTCATCCGGCTGGAAAATGAGTTTCAGCTTTAAACCAAATGCTTAGAACAATTTGTGCTTTATGAGAACTGCTGCAAAGCAAGTTGGTTTTTAAGGTGTTAAAACTGTGTTTGGGTAAGTTTAGTGTAAGGTTTGGAGTTATGGATGTGGCTTAGTGGGGATACAGTATTCAAATGCAGAGTAACAAGTGTGTCCGCATGTGTCATCTCCAGGCATGTGCATAGGTTTCCTCCAAGCACTGGTGGGACGTCAGTGGGAGCATTTGAGCATCAGTAGGTTTCAGTTCCTTGATTTGTGCAGAATTTTGTGCATTTTCTCCACCAGCTTCTGCTGGAGTTTTCTTATTTACGTGAAGAGAAACCCGAAAACAAAGCACCAGATGGCACAGCCAGATTCCCTGAGTAAATTCTTAGCTTTTTTCTTGTTTTTACTGTGGGGCCCACATACATCTGTTTTAAATACTGGAGCGAGGTATGCCCGCTGAGCACCCCGAAAATCTCCACATGTGCTTTCTGTTAAATCCAAAGCTTGAGTCTTTATTTTAGTATTTATGAATACAGAGTTGTATTCAATTTGCAGTAGGGAAACAAATGGAAACTTCACAATGGCAGTTTCTGTCCCTTACAATAATCCACTCCTGCACATGCATTGCAAAAAAAATAGTTTAGGTAAATAAAATAAATGCAGTGGTGTTACATGCTTACCCTTTCAAATAAACAAAAACTTTAAAATAAAAAATCTGAATCGATCAAACTCACATACAGATTTGTTTTTTTGTTGTTGTTGTTGTTGTTGGTTTTTTTTTTACTTCCCGCCCACACGCGCTGCGCTGGTGTCAAATCAAACGTACCTCCTCAGAGCAGTCTGAAGCCGGTCAGCAGCTTGGAGCGGAGCTCGCTGTGCACACGGGATCGATCGTTAATAAAACACAGTGAGTAAATATCAAACATCTCTATGTATCTGTGAAACATATTCATGTTTCTATTGTATTCATGCAAGCTTCGTTTTAAAAGCTGATTGGCTGCTTAGATTTACGGTGAACACGAGAGACAGGTTTGTTGTGAGTTCGTTTTTTACACCTGTGCTATGCAGTCACCATTCATTTATTTTTGTAATATTTTATATTACTGAGTGATTTAAGTCTGTTTGTTTGTCAGTTTTTTGTAATGTAGGTATAAAAACAGAAGTCAGAAACATTATAACAAAGCAGTTATTGAATAAGAAGTTAGATATTTACTTGAGTCACACATTCCAGTAAAGTTTTCAGTAAAATAAAGATTTAAATAGCCTTACATGCAAATGAATGTAAAATAATCAGCAGCAAGTACATTTTAAAGTAATATTAGAAATGTGATTTATCGTAACTGGTTCTTAGATTGTTTTGATGAATCAATGTGGAGTGACGTGCAGATATTTATTCAAGCACAGCATGTAATATGAGGTACTTTCACTTTATCATTTATACTTTAAATACACCAGATCCACTAAAAAGAAATGATAAGGTATTTTACAAGCTTGTACGAAGATAAACATGTATTAGTGAGAGTATGGCCTTTTTCTCATCTATTTAAGTATAGGACTTTCACATGTAAATGACTATATTTTAACATAGTACGACTGAAATTTTTGAACTTATCAACTCAGTTATTATTATTCCTTTAATACTGTTTTCTACAGTGCAGAGTAAAACTAAAGAGCAACTACAAATTCTGTTCTGTCCCAGAACTCAGTAAACTTTAAACAGGAGCATTATTGCACAAAAAGAAGATCATCAATTTCCTCCTTGAGCAGCACTTTGTTGGCTGGGTGTAAAAAAGTCCATTTCCATAGCAAGAAATCTTGAAGAAACCTTCAATCAAGAATCAGGCTCTCATTATGGATGGTCGTGAGCTTGGACCGACTGGGGTTGTGTAAATAACCCCATCGTAAACCAACATATGTCTTTAATCAGAATCTGAATCAGCATACTTTATTTATTCCTGGGGAAATTATGTGGGTTACAGTTGCTCCAGTACAGTAACATCAACAAAAACAGACCAGACTATTTAACAGTAGAATATGTTAAGATATAGGGAATAGCAGAATATAATATATAATCACCAAATAATAAATCATTCCTTAACATTACGCTTTGATAAGAGTTTTACTTTAATTAGTTTTTGTAATTTTGCCTTAAGATGTTTATTCTGAAGCCATTCTCACATATGCTGAACACGTGTTGCTTTCCCTTCACTTTACAATCCAGCTCATCCCAAGCCATCTCTGTTGGGTCTATGCTGGGGGAGTAAGGAGGCCAGGTCATCTGTTATGGTGGTTTGCTCACTGTCCTGTTAAAGGACAAGTGATTCAACTTCATATCAAGTTAGCAATGGTGGCAGTGAGGAGTAAAAAACAATTTCTAGAGGAGGGTGGACCACAGCAATAACCAGCTGTGGTGGAGAGATAATGTTCACTATAAACTCCAAACAGATGATGATTGTTTGTCGTTCCAAGATGTTGACTTAGGTGTTCCTTTGAATTCTGAATAAATTACAATAAATCAACCTTGTCACACAAAGATCCTCTCAAACCATCACAGTTCCTTCTCAGTGCTACACAGCAGGATCCACAAGCATCCAACCAACTCTGTGTCTTGAAACAGTTAGATCTAAACTAAGACTAATCGGGCCAGAGTAAAAATTTCCACTGCTCTGATGTCATGTCTGATGTGCCTCTTGGCCAGAGTAGTTCTCTAAATCGTATTTGTCTTTCTCGATAATGCTTTATTTTATTTTGTTTATTTATTTATTACAAATGAAAACATCAGAGGGACAGCTTATGTTGAATAGTTTTGAGATGAAGTTATAGAGGCAACACTGAAATGGTTTGAACGTTACTTTCCTGACTGCACTGTGCAAGTGTAAAGTTTAGTGGAGGGGGTGGGGGTTGTTTTTTCAGGACTTTATCTGAGGCCTGTGATTCCAGTGAAAGGAACTCTTATTCCAGTGAAAGGACAGTTTCATTCTTCTGACTTTGTGGGAAAAGTTGGGGGATGGTCCCTTCCTGTTCCAGCATGACTGGAATCTCACCAGTGCATAAAGCAAGGTCTTTAAAGACATGGTTGGGCAGATTTGGTGTGGAAGAACTTAAATGGCCTGCACAGAGTCCTGACCTCAACCTGACAGAACGCCTTTGGGATGAATTAGAGAAATGTATATATGGAAGAATGGTTGAAAATTCCCATACACCCACTCCTAAACCTTGTGGAAAGCCTTCCCTGGAGAGTTAAAGCCGTTATAGATTGAGTGGGCTGATATCACATTAAACCCTATAGATTAAAAATGGGATCTCACCCAAGTTCATGTGGGTGTGAAGGCAGACGAGCAAATACTTTTGGAGCAGAAGACGAAGTGAAAGACCACAGAGAAGATTCATGGATGTAGTGAAGGTGGACATGCAGGAGATTGGTGTGACAGGATGGTAGAGATAGGGTAAGACATATAGGGTAAGCTATAGTGACCATTAAGTGGGATTTATGGTCCATGACCATATTGTGCTCCTTTGTTTCCTTGGCGGTATGTTTTGGGTCATTGTCAGGCTGGAAGAACCATCCACGACCCATCTTTAGTGTTTTTGCTGAGGGAAGAAGGTACTTGTCCAAGATTTTGTCCTGTACCCTTGGCATAAAAACAGTCCCAGGACATTTTTCCACCTCCATGCTCCATGCTTGATTTTGGTTTCATCTGATCACAGCACTTTCTCCCAAGCCTTCTCTGAATCATTTAAATGTTCACTGGCCTGTACATGTCTGTTCTTGAGCAGGGGGACGTTGCAGGAAATGCAAGATTTCTATCTATTAATGTATAGTTTGTTACGGATGGCATCTTAGTAACTGTGGTCACAAATGCCTTCAGATTATTAACAACTCTTCCTGTGTAGTTTTGAGCGGATCCACCACCTTTCTAATGATCATCCTCACCCCGTGAGAGTCATGGTCTGAATGCTGTGCTGGGTGTTGGGACAATAGTCTAGGATGAAGAACTTTGGCCATGTTTAATGTAAGTGTCCATGACTATGACACTACATACAGAAAGGATGCTTTTCTGAATATGGTTGCTCTGCAGAAAACAACCAATGGCCTTTTAATAATGCCCAACAGTTAACTGAAAAACATTCCACATGATAAACCCATATAACGAGGCAAAAGTAATGAAGATACTGCCAGTAGTGTTGTGTCTACAGTTTATTTTACAAGGGGGAAAAAATATTACAAACAACCTTGATTGAGTCAGTCTGTGCAAATGTTTGACATGGTTCTCTAAATATTTCCCGTGCCATTGCACTTTATTTGTTGATCATTTACTTGTGTATAGAAGTGAAAAAATGTGGGCATCTCGTGCTCCGAACTTGACTATAAAAACCTCGAAATCAATGTCTAAAAAAGGGGAACACTGTGAAGATAATTATAAATGTAGTTGTCAAATGAATGTAGTGGCAACAATAATATTCCCCTGTGAAAGTCAATGGAGAGGAGATTAATGTGCTGTAATCTTTCCAAGAGGATCTCCAGGGAAATTTGATAACATGCACTGGTAGAAACTAGTGCACTTTGGACTTATCAGTCTGCACGGAGGCTAAATGAACTTGTTTTATTTATCAAAGTGAAGGTACAAAAAGGGAGGAAGAGTTCAAGTCAGGGCATGGTGTCCAGATGTTACCACTGATAGCACCACGACAGAATAATTAACACACAATCACACAACTGTTTCCAGATTGCAGTATTTCTTCTTTACGTGTATTTTCTTAAACCCAGGGAACGTGAAGTTTCTAAATGTTTCCTAATGTGGCTCCAGTTCTGCTTACAGCTTAGCAGTGTTGTATTTTACTGTTTTATTGTAATGGGAACATAAAATCCAGACATCAGATCTATAGTTGCCTGCAGCTTTACAGGAATCGTGGCACTAAATTTTGATTTATTTTTGTCAGTTTCTAATTTGTGTTCCCTCTTGATTTAAGATAGTCCCCCTGCCAAGTAATGTGCACACTGTTGCTCAAGCAGAATGTTTAAAGACACGGTGAAATGAAATGCTTTTTGCTTTTTTCAGTATTTTTACAACAAAATCCCTCTCTTCTTTTAACCAATGAGCTATATAATTTGTTCAGTTTTCTTGTGTTTGAGGAGTGGTTATATGAATTACCTGTGGTATACATCCTGACCTCTGTTGCACTGACTTCACTCCCTCAGAAAAATCTCTCATTCAGCATTTCTCGCAAAAGTGAAACTCTTGAAAATACAAAAAAACTGAAGCTGAGAAGAAAACAGAGAAAATAGAAATGAGAACTACAGCACTCGGTTTTAAAACTGCAGTCATGGCAGAATGCGTCCTCTGGTTGCACCCTTCTCTATAATACTAATGGCCACTTGCCTTTAAAGTTGTTGATTGAATTTTCATGAGGAAAACTTTTTCATTGTTTTCTTGTATGCATATTCGAGGTGATCATAAACCCCAAAGCTGTATGGCTTTTGGGAATTTGTGCTAGCGTTACTGACATCCTTACCTTAAAAATACGAAACACATCATATGACATATTAACCATGCTGTAACTTGGGTTTTGAAACTTGGAATTTGGGGTTCCTGTGACATTTTCTTCTTTTTTGATCATAATCAATCATTATTCATTTTGCAGATTAATTTCACTGTACTCATATCTATTGTTTCGATGAGAGTGGGTCAGCCTATACTTAACCATATTATTACAATAATAATATGGTGTGTTCATACAAAAAGCAAACCAACTTTTCCCCTCAGATATTTGTCCCCAACATCTAAAAAGAGGAGGAGCACGGCAACCAATCACGTTACAGCAACATACTTTCAGACGTTACAATGTAGCCTACCTTTCTCCAAACTGAGTTCATTTTCTCTGTGTTTTATCTAAAAGCAAAGTTTAACCAGACCACTCCAATCGTCATCTCCGCATCCTCCATTTCTGATTTGTCAGTGGTGTCAGGAGAACCCCAGCTGGTTCATGCTGTTTTTCAGCAATGTTGCAATATTTTAACATGCACAAATGTACTATGCCCTCTTCTTTGGTTTTGTTGAGAATGCACCATTACACATGCAGTCATAGCTTTTACTAAGAATGATCAAGAGAGACCGAAGGACAGGAAAAAAGAAAAGCTTGAAAGAGAATGAAAAATACAGTGCTCTTACAACATAAATAAAGTTTCATTTGGTTAATCTCTAAGGTTTCAGGGTTTTTGGGTTTCTTTCTAAGAGGATAATCAAGGAAATTCTAAATGACTGCCCTGAATTACTGCAGTTAAGTCATATCTCAAGAACTGGATTTAAATCTGCCTCGTATATAAATCCTGCAAGTGTTTGTTGTTTGTATCACTCTGGGGATGTATATTTTTGTGAATGTTTACGTCTGTATTTCCCTTGACAGTTTTATATCATCAACATGGATTTCTCAGAGGAAGACTACGACTATGAAAACACCACCTACAACTTCACCTATGATGACTATCCTGCCGTATGCGAGAAAGGGGACATCCGATCTTTCGCGGCCCTCTTCCTGCCCATCATGTACACCGTGTGTCTGGTGGTGGGACTGGCTGGAAATGTTTTAGTCGTGGCTGTCTATGCCTACCACAAACGCCTGAAGACCATGACAGATGCCTTCTTGACCCACCTGGCTGTGGCCGACTTGCTCCTGCTCCTCACGCTCCCTTTCTGGGCTGCTGATGCTGCAAGGGGCTGGGAGCTAGGGGAGGTTGTTTGTAAAATCATGTCCGCCTGCTACACAGTGAATTTCACCTGCTGCATGTTGCTGCTGGCGTGCATCAGCTTGGATCGTTATTTATCGCTGGTCAGAGCACAGGATAGAGACCAAAGACGATGGCTACAGAGGGCGTTCACCAGGAAATGCTGTTGGAAGGTGTGTTTAGCTGTTTGGGTGACAGCTTTCCTCCTTGGCCTTCCTGATTTAATACTCTCAGAAGTGAGGCAGGCATCTGATAGAAATATCTGTCTAACCATCTATCCTTCATCTATGGCTCGAGGAGGTAAAGCTGTCCTAGAGGTGGTGGAGGTGTTGTTGGGATTCCTACTTCCTCTGCTGGTCATGGTGACCTGCTACTGGCGGGTGGGCTGTGCACTCCGGGGCCTCCCTGATGAGAGCAGAGGGAAGAAGTGGAAAGCTCTGCGTGTCCTTCTCATTGTCGTAGGGGTGTTTGTGATGACTCAGCTGCCTTACAACGTGGTTAAGGTGTATCGGGCAATGGATACAGTCTACAGTTTAGTGACCCACTGCGGGACGAGTAAGGTGCTTGATCAGGCGGCTCAGGTGACAGAAAGCCTGGCTCTCACTCATTGCTGTCTGAACCCGATCCTCTATGCCTTTGTGGGGTCTTCCTTCAAGATGCACATGATGAGAGTGGCCAAGAAGTTTGAAGCGCAGCGAAGGAAGAGGGGAAGCAAAACAACAGAAACTAATGTGGAGGAGGGGATGGAAATGTCATTCAACTCCCACACTGCATCCCAAGAGACAAACACATTCTCAATATGAGAAATGACTAAAATGTCAGTGAGGTCTATGTGTCTATATATGCACACAAGGTCCAGCAGGAGAGCATATAAAGCTTTTGTTGATGTAGGGTGTAGCAGCAGTAGCAAAATGCTTGCAAATCATTAAACTGTTCAAAAATTCCACTAGTTTTAACAGTCTGTTCCTAAAAACAGTCTTTTTCTGCCAAAGCGAACAGTTTATGTGCTGGTTTCAAAGAGCTCCAATATATATTACTCTTGCCCTCTGTTGAGGAGAAAAAAACAAACATTTCAGCCACATATATTTTATGAAAAGACCTGTTGAGACAGTTTGTAGTTACTCTTTGCAGGAGTAGATGTATTTATTTACAGTAGTATCCATTAGCGTTTGGACAATGACATCCACCACAGTGGGTTCACTGAGAACTAATTCAAGTATTGCATTAAATTTTCAAGAATTACGGACATTCTTATTCACAGTGCTCCGTTTTCAAATTCTGGAAATTAATTTTAGATATAAGGATTATTTTTAATAGCTGGATGAAAATCCAAGTCCATGGACATCACCAACTGCTGCATTTCATTTCTTGAGATGCTCCACTTGGCTCTTACTACAGCTACTTCAGTTGCTGCTTGTTTTTTTGGATTCAAAAACCATGCTTTTCTAAGTTGAAGTCAGGTGACCAAGTGGCAAGTTAAGAATATCCCAGCTCTCTGCCTTGAGAAACTCTTGGGTTGATTTTCCAGGATGCTTTGGGTTTTTTCCGTGTACACTGTAAAATGCTATCTGAGCAGAGAGTACAGGCCTGTACACTTCATAATTCATCCAGCTACTTCTATAAGCAGGCACATCATTAATAAACACTAGTGACCCGGTTGCACTGGCAGCCATGCCAATGCCATAACACTGCCTCCACTATGTTTGACAGATGATGTGGTTTGATTCATATCACGAGTCATTTCTCTCTTCCTCCATATGTTTCTTGTCGTATCAGTCTGATAAAAGTTCATCTTGGTTTCATTTGTCAAAAAAAAAAAAAAAGGAAAGTCTAATCTGTCTTTCATGTTGCTGAATGTAACCAGCGGTTTGCACCTTGTGAAACACACTGTGCTGATCATTTATCATGAGGGTGTATCTGGAGAGTAGACTTTGCCAATAATATGTCTACCTCCTCCCCAGTGTTCTTGGTTGTTTTTTTGTTTTTTTTAAACCAAGGAAAGAATTCTGCAATATTCCACTTTAGTTGCTTTCTGTGGTCTTTCAGGTCTTGTTTTTGAGCTGGCCTTCTTTTAAAGAACATACTAGATTGCATTTTTCAACCTAATGATGTCCTACCTCACCCTTTTTTAATATCTTGCGGGACATAATATAAGGAGCTCAGCAGACAGTTACCAAATACAAGCTCAACACTTTGAACCAAATGCAGATATTTGTTTAGTTTTCCATTATTCTGCTTCTCAACTGTCCAGTTACATCTAAAAATGGGAGGCTGTGTAGCTATAAAGTCAGTACATTAATCACGTTTAAATCAAATTTATTGTTTGATTTAAAAATCTGCTGAGGTGGTGAACAGAGGTAAAATTACATAAAAATATTCTCCAAATACTTATGGACCAAACTATCCTTTTAATCCAGATCTTCAAGTTAACTTGTGCTTCTCTGAAATTTCACCAGAAACTTGCACTCTGCCCACACAGTTAAGATTTATTACTAAACTCTCTCTGCATTACACACTAAAAACACCCACAAAGGAAAGAAAAACCAGACCTGCTGGAACTTCAGCTTTGTTGAAATAGTGCCTTGTTTAATTACAATCAACCATGAATAAAAACTCCAGACCCATTTCATGTAATAATCTGCACAGCCTGTAAACCAGATATTATATCGTGCACCTATGAAAGGGTAAGCAAAGACTTTGAACCTCTGTATGTTTGCCAAATGTCTGTTTTTCTCAGCTCAGGATATATCCTGAAAACTTAAAAAAAAAAAAAAAAAAAAAAAAACAAAAAAACCAAACATTAACCATCAACCAAATTGCTGCAGTGCGCTGCTGGTGTTTCAGAATCGTGTGATACATCTACATCCACTGGGACTTTGGTTTGATGTGGGAACGCCGCATTTGTTGTTTCCTGAATTCCTAGGAACATCTGAAACACACATTTTTCCACACACAGATTCGCTCCTCTGCACTGAGAGCTGAGGCTGCACAGCGGGGTAAAAAACACTTTTTTATGAGGCAATGACGACAAGTTTGTAATCGTACTTTATCACTACATATGGGTTTACCACTGAGCTGAAATTCCTTAGAAAATGTGTAGCTGCAGACAGAGGGAGGGCTGGACACATTCAGATATTAATTATTACCCTTACCGTCCAGCATCGGCATCATTAACCCTGACAGATATAAACAGGATACTGCATAGTTCAAATGTTTTTGATGTCTGTTGCAACTTGTTATTCTTTTTTGCTCCAATTTGACAAAATGTATACAATCGAATGTTTACTTGTGTCATTCATTTTCTATTCATTAGATGTGAGGTTTATTTATTATTCTTTAATATTTTTTTTCCCTGCATCCCAGCTGGTGGAACTCAAGTATTGGTGTATACTGCAGGTCACACACTGTGGAAAGCATCTGAGAGATGTTATCCATCTGTTAAAAGAGCAAAACACTTCATTGAGCCAAAAAAGAAAAAAAAAGGGGGGGGGGAGGGGTTGATCCAATTTGAATTGTTGCATACCTTCTGTGTGAGTCAAGACAATTTTGAAAACAATTATTTGTTTCAGACTCAAAATTTGCATTCGAGTGATTTTTGTTCATTTTCCTTACATGCATTTCTTTTGCAAATACAACTGTGCTCATTTAACTGATTTATTGAGAACATAAACAATATTTCTTACAATAAAAAAGGAAGTATACAAAAAAACAACTCTGCAATTGTACTATATTTAGAACAAAAGTGCAACAAATTAAATTAAATTATGATTAAGGCAGTCAACTAACTTCAGTTTCAAACCTAAACTACTTTTTTTTTTTTTAATTAAATAAGTAAAAATATTCAATTATTTAACTAATGATAGGATAAACTGAGGCCTAAAATGGCAGTATCACAATAATTTAGAAAAGAAAACTTTCTGACATTTTCACAAAAACAATGTAAACAAAATGTAGCCAAAACATTAATTCAATAAATACAAAACGGTGGTTGAAATTTAACTGGGAAATTGAATAGATGAAGACGTACTGCATGAAGACAAAGCTTACATCTCCTGAACCGGATCATCAAAGAAGCAAATACTGAAATGTTATTGCAAAGTTCAACTTATCTACAACACTGTTACAGTCCCAAAAGTGGATAAGCTGTGCAAAGGAAAACAGTTATCAACAACTCAAGCTTTCCGCTGGATGTGGAAAAATACAGAGACACAAAAGTGCAGCAGGAATGTGAGGAATGTGAAGGATTTCTCTGTTTACTTGAGACCTCGTGGCTCATGGCTTTATAAATACCTTATGGTTCATTAAATCAGGCACTTGTTTTTGCTGGACAGAGTCTGGATATGTTTAGCTGTGAGGTGCACATCAGTGAAGTCTTTGTTTTTTGTTTTTGTAAGATGACAGTGGTATATCAAAGTATCATCTTTGAAATTTTAACAAAATAGGACAAATCTTTACAGTTTTTAAGAGGCAGAAAGTGCTTCTCAAGATTGTAAGAGTGTGCATCAGAGTCACCGTCAGACATCAGTAATTCAGGATCTGCACATCAAACAGGTCACACACTCCCTCGTTGTCATCCAGGTTGAAGCTGTAGTCTATACCTGAATTTGGAGAAAGGAATCAGTGCAAAAATGAAAAGATGGCACCCACACTGAACACAGATTCCAGCTGTTGATGATTTAGGACCTAGATCAGGATGTGAAAGGCAAGGCCCAGAGTTCAGAATTGGCCCGACAAAGACATTAATCCAGCCCGCTGCACTGCTTTGGAAAATGTCAAGGAGGGCCAACATTTACACTTTCATCTGTATTTTCATAAGTTTTACAGCTCCTTTAATAGATAAACAATTAAATAACATTTTATATTCATGTTTAACATTCCTGTTTTTTTGTAGTCTACTATAGAAATTTTCCTTTTCTTAATTAACAAAAATGTTTTGAACAATGAGCTACCAGAACTTATTCTATAGTTTTACACTTTTATTTCTGAGTTTAAGCCCAAAGAGTTGTGCTGTCAGAACAGCATTTCTTCTTTAGACTGACTGACTTAGAAGTGGATGACTTGGATGACTGATGAAATGTTTCTCCCACTGAAAGCACTACGTCCAGGAGAACAGAAGCAACTTTTTGGGAAATGTTAATATGCCAAATTAAGATGTTAAATATGTCAAATAATAAACCTGCTAAGCATCAGGATGTTAGCATTAACTCAGGATCATCTGTTAATCATCATCTGAATGTCTTCTCTTTGGCCTCCAGTCGTTAAAATGGACACATTAGTGATGCCTAAGGTCTGAAAGGTAAAACCAGAGAGCTTTATAACAGAGTTAGGGGTTTCAGTTTATCTGAAATAGGACTTTATGGCGGTCTATATGTAGGTAGACTACCTCCAGTAGTTAGGGGTAAGTGTGCCCCCAATTAGACAGCATTACAGAAAATTGGGGCACTGAATGGAAGCCAAGCAATGCACTGCTGTGGAGGGGTTAGCAGCAATATATATTTAAGCGTAGATACTGGATGTAGTTAAAACAGGTGCTGTGATGCTTACCATCAGTGGACATGAGTTCATCAATCAGGTCAACAGCTCCTACAAAGAAAATTAAAAACATGTTTCTATTCCACTGTGGTGCAAAACGTTCACTGTTCTGGACCATTTGTAGCATATCTGTAAACAATTCATTCCTTTCCTCCCACTGAAAGAAAAAACATTAAATAAAAGCATGCTTAGACCTAAGAGCGTCAACTGAATCAGAACTGAAACAAATGTGAAGTAAACATTAAAAAAAGGAAAAAGACTCTTCTGATTGTATTCAAATCCCTGGGCCTCACCCTCTCGGTTATCCTTCATGTGGTCTCCAGTGGCACTGAGCTTCAGTAGGCTGCTCACATCCAGAACAGACTGGAACTCCTGGTCCACCAGGTCCATCTCCTGCTGCTCCAACCCCATCACTGGTCGACCGTGATAGACTGCAGACAGAATGAGGAGTCGAAACAAGGTCACTTAACCTCATAATGAAGGATTAAGTTATCTGGAGGCAGAAAACAACAAATGTTGGAATGTGCACTTGTTTACTTTAATGTAAGAGTTTGAAAAACATGATTACCACCACTCTCATTTGTCCAGTAAATAAGAAGTTAATGCCAAAAGGCTGTTAATTTATTAATGTCCACGAGGTCATGCCTGAAAAGAATCCTATACATGGCCCACTTTTAATCTGAATTATTTTTACCTAACTCATTCTTAATGTACAAAAAAAATAAACACACCCAACCCTATGCACTGGCTTCGCATCTACACACCACTGTGCAAAACATACCATAAGCTTTCATTTTATAGATTCCAAGTGTTTCCAAATGTTGAGTAAGTAAAAATCATTCAGTGAAAGGTCTTGTGATTTTGTTGGGGAAATTCCTCATTTTTTTATTTTCTGGAAGGATGGTCAGACTGGGTTTCGCTTTGACACTCTTCTACTTTTAGTGCAACTCTGACTCATCCTCTATAAAACTTAGAGCTGTCAGCTGTTGATCTGTCAGATATACTGGAAGTCTTTTTTTTTTTTTAAATAAAGCCACATGAACATATGCAATGATTAGCCACATTAAAACCAGTGAAGTATATGGCACCGCAATGCAATATTCTGATGGAGGGAAACTGGCATCAACGTGGATGTTACAAGCACCACCCACCTAAATACTGTTATAACCCTTCTACACAGCTTAACAGGTTGCCCACAGGTTGCATGGAATCCAGTCTCAGCATTACAGAAATGTACAAAAACAAGTCAAATTAAGGGAGTGCCTACAAGACCCACTGCAGGCATCCTGGTGCCGGACACCACAGGATAATTTCAGAGGTTCTGTAACCATACTCAGAGGGGCCAGTGTATTTTTCCACAGTATTAGGCAGGTGGTGAGGCAACCTTTAAGCAGTGTAAACAAGTTGTCAAGTAGCTGCCATTGGGAGAAATTTGATATCTTGTGACTCATTTAGGTGGAGAATGTTATTCCAGAGAATCGGATAAAGAAAAATGAAACTGTCCCATAGTAACAGCACTTTGAGGTTATTGAAGATCAAGTTTTCTGTGCAAAATTTTGTTCATACTCTCCTTGTTTATCATTTTTTCACAAGCTACAAGAGATTGAAGTAAATCTGCAAAGAAATGGGTCAAACTGTGCATACTGACGCTACAGTTTTCCTAAGACTTTAGATTCTTTTCTTATGGCCTAGATCTGGTTCATGTAACTCTGAAAGTCAGCTTGCTAAGAGAGGGAACATCGTGACAGACAGCAGTTTTATTTTTTGTTTCAAGATATTAGCACTGTATAGTATTACAGAAGAAAGTAGCAAATAATAACTTCTGCTGTTCCCGCATGTCAAGACTCTACAACAGCTAATACTTCTAAGTCAGCTGATAAACAGCAATACTTTTAAAACAATAAATCAATCACATTTACATAATCAATTTCACAT